GACTTCTGATGTGATTCTGTATGTAAAATCTCTAGTCCTTGTTATTTCTCACAGGTCCAATTGATTTTGAAGTGGCAATCTGAAATCTTGAGCATATGACTTTATGATCGATATGCTAATGATAATAAAATAATGAAAATGATACTTGTTTATAATTCTATAATCTATATCAGTGGACTTTCTTAGGTCACAATTTAAATCAGATATGATGGTGAAATTTTTTTGACTGGAAAAGTAATCTTCATAGGAAACTTGTGCTAATGATGTTGCTGGTGGTTTTGATACTTCCACTTGATCTTTTTGTATGGATCTGTAATCTTCAAATTTGAAAATATGGGGATATATTCTGTATCTTTATTATTGCATTCCCTCCTCTTCACATTTTCTTTCCTCCAACTGAAACTCAAGTATGATTGAAATGTCTTTAAGAGTACGGCCAGGACAAGTGATAGACCTAGCACTTAATAAAGAGGGGAGATGAATGTTTCTCTGACCTAGTTACTGGGCAATCCAAAACGTACAGAATGCAGATTTTGCATTGGCAATCTTCACTAGGATTTAGTTTGAAATTGTGATATATTTTGCAACTCTAGGTTGGTGGTATGTAGGTTGCATAGGCTTGGGAACAAATACGCAGCATCTATATAATAAAGTCCATCTTTCTTTCAAGACATTTTTGTTTCTAAGTTGCTTTTGCCATTTGACATATATTAACCTGGAGTTGTTATGCTTATGCAGGTCCTGATGGTCTGTTTGAGGTGAAACATCACTGAAACCTGTAATGCCATATTAGTCGTGGTTGTCTAATATGTGCACCCAAGGAATAATACGGTTTTAGTTTCTTTATTTATGGTTATTGGAACTTGTGTTCGAAATTTGAATGCCATAAAATTGTAGGACCCCAGGTCCTGTTGACATTGCACATTAAGCTTTGCCTTCGTTTTCTTTTGTTTTTTCGCTATCCTGTCTTTTGTGTTGACAATCCTTTGCATTTTCTAAGCTTTGCCTTCGTTTTCTTTTGTTTTTCTTGTTATCCTGTATTTTGTGTTGACGATCCTTTGCACACTAAGCTTTGCCTTCGTTTTCTTTTGTTTTTTGGTTATCCTGTATTTTGTGTTTAACACAAAATGATGTTTGAGGAGTAGGTTGGGATTTCCTACAACTATGCTATCACGTCGTCGAGAAACAATATATTATAACTTATTAAAGCTCTTTAACCTTCATCTAACAATCATGGCTTATTTTCACATAAATGATTAATAATCCTAAATCTTCATCTAATAATATCATTCATTATTTTCACATAAAATGCTTATTATTATTATTATTATGGTTATCCAAACTAAGCTAACTTCTAGCATAGGTTTGAAATGTATCTTTGAAACAATTTTCTATGGCAATTGTCACTTTGCATTGTTTAATACAAAATAGAATTTTGCTTAAAATTTTCCAATACCTTTTATTTTTTTGGTACTTTATTTCTAAATACATTTTTATAAATAGCAAACTTGTAACAGATGTTGTAAGTGAGGGCTAAAACCATAAACTGCAAACCAAAAAGGACTAGCAAGATCCTCCCAAGTAACTGAGACAAGAACAAAAAAGTAACTGAGGCAAGAATAAATGAGAGCAAGTACTATATAGTTTTACACTCACAGTATACCAACAAGAGTCCTGAATACTATTACATTCTCTTTTCCAGAAAGAGCTGCAAACACCAGAAAATGCGAACACCCAACCTCGGCTAAAACTGGAAATCATTCATAATAATGCAAAAAAAGAAAAAAGAAAGTATAAGGAAAGAAGAGGTCCCTAGGCAGTTGCCTCATGGCCATTAACTTCGTTTCCAGCTTCCGGAAGAGTATTCACGTCCATACGGGCATCCTTCTCTTCTTGGGAGAGTGAAGTAGATGAGTCCACCTGTTCCTGTTCAGAAGTAGAAACTTCCGACTGAGTTTCACCCGCACCATCACTGCCATTACTGTCACTAAACGATGCTGCTGTTTTCTCGTCAGGACCAGAATCACTTTCAGTTTTCTGGTCCCCGGCAGAGTTAGTCTCAGTTGAAGTTTCTGGAGTGTTCTCTACATTCTCACTAGTCATTGAATGAGTCGAATTTTGATCTGTTTTCTCATTACTAGTACCAGTTTTCTCTGCCAACCCAATTTCGATTTCTCCTGATTTTTCGTTTTGGCTTTGGCTGAAATCACCACTGGCCCCGTTTGTTTCTGTTGAAGAATCATGATTGGTCAACTCTGAACTAGTGATGCTTTTTTCGGTAGACATGTTCTGATTCTGGCTATTCGGCTTCTCATACTCGTTCTTTTTGGTCAAGCTAACATTCTCAGTTTCCATTTTACTATTAGAATTTTCTACCGAGTCATTGGAGACACTTTGATCCGAGCCATTCTCTCCCTTGGTGCCCTCATTAGTTTCTTCATTTATAATTTGATCCAAGCCTTCTTTCTGCTTCTCGACTGGGTTGTTTTCCTTGTTATCATTTTTGCTACCTTCTTTGCTCTCTCCTTGGTCATTGTTTTTGTCCCCCTTGTCTTCTGTAGGGTTCGGCTGTGAAGATTGACTTCCGTTCACCTCTTTCTCATTGCCGTCATTAGAATATTCTTGGTTTTGGTTCTCTTTGTTCTCATTTTCTTCCGTTTTCTCAACACTTTTTATCTCGTTCTCTCCTGCAGCCGCTTCTTGACTTTTATACCCCTCGCTCTCGGTATTTACAGTTCCCTCATATCCTTTGTTTTCTTTGACCTCGTTTTCTCCTTTATTTTCTTCGTTCTTGTTTTTTGTACTCTCATTCTCTACTTTAATCTCTTCGTTTTTTGTCTCCATTTTCTCACCATCTCCCTTAATTTCAGTCTTGTTCTCATCTTCCCCCTTACTTTCTTCATTTTTGTTTTCTGCTATTTCCTCATTCTTGTTCTCTTTGCTCTCATTTTCTCCCATACTTTGTCCATTCTTGTTTTCCGCAATTTCTTCACTCTTGTTCTCACTTTCCCCTTTACTCCCTTCATTCTTGTTTTCTGCTATTTCCTCAATCTTGTTCTCTTTGCTCTCACTTTCTCCCATACTTTGTCCATTCTTGTTTTCCGCAATTTCTTCACTCTTGTTCTCGTTGCCCCCATTTTCTTCTGTAGTTCCTTCATTCTTGTATTCTGTAATTTCTTCATTCTTGTTTTCCACACTTTCTTCATTCTTCTCATTGCCCGCATTTTCTCCAGCACTTCCTTCATTCTTATTCTCTGTACTTTCTTCATTCTTGTTTTCCCCAATTTCTTCATTCTTGTTCTCATATGTTTTCTCACTGCCCACATTCCCCCCCACACTTTCTTCATTCTTGTTTTCCGCAATTTCTTCATTCTTGTTCGTGTTTCCCTCATTATCTCCCGCAACTTCTTCGCTCTCGTTTTTGTTCGTCTCTTGATCCTTCTCCTCTTTCCTCTCATTCTCTCCCGTCATCTCCTCAATTTTGTTTTCCGTGCTCCCGTTTTCTCCCGTTGTCTCCTCAATTTTATTCTCCGTGCTATCCCCTTCATTCCCCTTGGCCTCGTTATTCACATCACCACTCTCACTGCTCTCTCCCTCAACATTGTTGTTCTCTTTACTCTCCTCAACACCCAAGCTTTCCTCATTTGTCACCTTACTCCCTTCATCTTCTTTCACCTCCGAATTTTCTCTCTCCTCCGTTTTCTCTTGCTCTTGCCACCTGTCGTCCGGCTTATTCTCGTCATCAAAATGCCGGATTTCCTCCGGCTGGTCCTCTTTCTCCTTCTCTTCTTCCTCGTTGTTGTCTTCCCTTTCTATCTTGGGGTTGAGATCCTTTCTCCCGAGCTTAATGCTGTCGGGCTCGTTCTCTAGCTTATTCGAGACTCTCGGGTTGTCCACTTTTTTGTCGCGCGATTGCTGGACTTGGTAGAGCAGCCAGAAGCAGATCCCGAGCAGGAGCCCAATTTGGACCACATGCTTCACTTTTATCCCTTTGTTTCGGCTGTTCCTACGCGGCGAGTGCTTGAACATGTTGACTTTTTTCGGATCAAAGCTTCACACCGAAAAATTCTGCTCGATTTCGAAATTGTTCTGTTGAAGAGAGAGACACACAACAACAACAACAACTTCAAAACAGACACATGATCTTGTCAAAAAGAACATAATCTTGAACATATTACAAGAACACTTGTCAAAAGCCATAATCTTGAAACTGCCTAAATGGTATAAAATAACAGGTAAATGCAAAACAAAATGGCGGCAGCAGCAGCAGCAGCAGCAGCAGCATTAAAGAGCTTCTTGTTTGGGTAAAACACAGCAAAAATTAAAATCAATCTAAATCACCATCACTTATTTCAAGCAAATATGCTACTACTTCTTATAACCTTAAATAGCCACTTTATCCAAAGATAGAAATCCGTCAACATCGCAAGGTATTCTGTCAAATCTCGAATAATTCATGTAAATCGGTTGACAAGAAACGCGGCTTAAGGCTCAACGGACAACTAATGAATATATACTCTTAAGGCCAATGGAAAAGGCTATATAAACGAGCAATATCAAAGAAATGTCTCAATCATTTTTCACAAATCACTACTTCAATCGATTCATTTTGAGTTTTATTTTGTTTCTTGTGAGACATTAGTCGGATTATGAGTGATCAGAACTTGCTTTGAGTATATGTAAATCAAAAACATTGCTAACCTTCAAATCACCACAAATTAAACAGATCCAAATTTCAAATCAAGAAACAATTTTTTTTTTTTTTTTTTT